GTCAACTTACATTTCAGCTACTTTGACAATGGGCAGAGCAATGCATCTCGGCAGCGACTGGCGACCCAGGCCATATGGTTCACCCCTGACATGCCTCTCATGGCAAGGCTCGAACAGGTAGGCAGAGGCCAAGAAGGAATAGTCTCGGTACAGAGCGTTCATGACAACAAGGTCATCGCGATACTTTTCAACCTCCGGAGTGAGGTCAGGTAGCTCCTTGAGCAGGGTCTCGCCAAAGGTGAAGTTGGCGAGGAGACCCGGCTCTCCTGACAGTGTCTTGATAGGCATGCGTTGCAAGAGCGACTCAAGAGGAGCAAACTCTTTTGGAAGCTCTACAACAGGCTCTTGGCGAGGAAGGAAGCCTCGTGTTGTTGACACCATGAAGGCAGGGAGAGAATGGTCCTCAGGACGGGTGTCCTTGAGGACAGGAAAGCCAAAAGTGGGAGACATGATGACCAAGACAAGAGATAATGAAGGCAAAAAGATGTTCGGGATGGACAGGCGTCAGTCACAAAAGAGCTAGACCGAAAGCCGATGGCTGTTGTTGGTGCCGAAGAGAAAACATGTCGAAAGGCGGGCTCAACGCACGCTTATATCTCGTGGCCGGAATCAAAACCGGCCACGGAAACGTACCGGCCTCACCAAGATAAGAAGTACGTAATGACTGGATCACTTGCCTCCATTTGCAGACTTTGACCCGGAAACTATCTCTACTGCCCGCCTGAGTTTCCCCATGTTCCCCAGGGCACCCGAGTCCAATTTTCCATGGTAAGCTCGTCGTCGCCAAGACATGGAGATGTTGGAGAGGAGGGTTGGGGCGGCAATGAGGCTATTGCTACATCTCGTGCAGATATGAGGAAGATACTGCATCAGAGACGTTTTGTTTGAAGCAAAATATTAATATTGAATAGAGGGGCGCGAGTGATGGCGCAGTATTGATCGCATTCACTGTCTTCGCGATGCAGCCCAAAGACTTAGGAGATGAATCAAAGAGCATCATACATCCAACTCAGCAGTCATTTCCATACACTTTCAAGTACTTAATTTTCCATACCACACGCATCTTTCATTAATTTTCATCACCACCCTCTCATCCCCATCAAACAACACACCTTTCTGCCCTCTCTCCAACTCCAACCCTATCGGCCCGACTCTTACTAACCAAATCCACACCGCACCCACTCCCTTCTCCCCTCCAAAAAGAACAATCGCAAAACCAATACCTCGCATCACAGATCATACCTGCATCTACTTGGTTTCAATAGTGAAACCAAAACCGCTCCCGGTCGAACTTCCGACCCCGTGATATGGTAATAGGTTGATAGGGCGGCTTCGTCGGCAGCGCAGCCAACCAGCGTCGCGCCGAAGAGACCCCGCAAGTGCGCGCGCTCGACTTCCGGCCTCTGGCGGGCCGGGGGATGTAATTCCGGCCTTGTTATCTAGAATGGCTCACCGCTTGATTGGTTGGTTTTGATGTTAGGCTGGGGGTTTTTTTTGGTTGGTAATGGCTTGGTTTAGGGTTGTTGTGGTTGATGATGATGGATATGGTGTGTGTGGTGTTTGGGGTATGGGCTTTGTGGGGTTTAATTGTACGGAGAGGGTTGGATGAGGATATGTGAACAATGTGGTGAAGAAGGTGGGGGAGTGCTGGTGATGAGATGAGATGGGTAGGTGGGTTGGGGTATGCTGGGAGTTGGATGGTCGTGATGGTTGTGTCTCGATTAGGTGCATTTCCAACAGCTAAGCCACCAGGACAGCACTTTTAATATTTGGTGACCACCATTACGAATTCCCCCCTCACTCAATTCATCACTCGTGACATGTCAATTGTATGCCTACCGACCATCTTGCCCACCGCTATACCAACGCCGCTTGTAAGCGAGCATTCCCCGCCCTTTGTTCCTGACATCACGAGACGAACGTTAGCCCTGCACCTGATGTTTCTCCAAGTTCAATCATGTGGTCTTAATTGCCGCGGCCATGACATTGACGCGCGTAGCGACATTGGTTTGGTACCTGGAATCCACATTACATTGCTGATGGAGTTGAAATAGTACTATGAGCTCTGTAGTGCAAATTAAAGAACCCAGCCTCATCTGTTTCTATACCTCTCATGGGGATAATTAAACTTTACGGCGCCCACGTCGCCATCCCTGTCCAAATTGTTTGAGTATGATTGATATGAACTAAGAGGAAAACAGGGTAGAATCGTCTGATGCTAGAGAACATGATGTTTTAATGAATAATGTGTCTATGATCAATTATTACAAAGTAGGTAAGAAAAGAAAAATAAAATAGGAGAAACGCAGTAAACAATGCTCGCTACCCATGCCTCGTGTATATACTATCGCCAGTATAGTGATTACTCCCCTTTCTCCCCTCACCCTCAAGTCACCCAACTACCCTCTTTTCGCGCATCATATCTTAGAAAAACACAGCAGCCAGACCCGCTGCTCCAAAAGCAGCCATACCAGCCGCTGGAACTAATCCTGCCGCTGCAGCACCCGTAAACATCTCCATAGGCGGAGTCGTGCTCGTAGCCGCACCGCTCACACTCGCACTTGTCGCCATGGACGCAGCACTCGACGTCGTAACCGCGCCGGTGGGTGTAGGAACCGCCAGTGGGGCCAGCGTCTTCAGCAACTCAGGCGTAGTCGTATACGTCATTGCATCTCCGAAAAACGCCAGGGATGCACTTAGGATTGGCAGCGGCGACGCAGGCGTTGCGCTGGGGAACGCTGTGCGTTCGGCTGCTGGAGCAGAGGGGTTCAGTGATGCGCGGTCGAATGGGGCGAGGGGGTTTAGGACACTATTTTCCAACACTCCAGTTAGCTCTTCGTTTCACTCGAGAAACCCCAGATGGAGAAAAGGGGAAGGGGGAGTATACTAACCCATCAATTACATGTGCCACACCATTGTACAAGATTGTATTCACAAACGTAATCTTGGCCCCGTTCACCCATGCACTGCCATCCGGGAGTACCGTAAATACCAAGTCCTCGTCTGCCATACTCTTCACCGTCACATTACCCAGGCTAGGCGAGAAAATGACGTTCTTGGGTATGATGTGGTGTTTTAGCACAGTCTGCAGTGTCTCTTTGTCCGCGGTGGCGAGGACGGATCCGATATTCTCAAACGCCTCGTTTGTGGGGACGAAAATCGTAAAGTCGGAGATGTTGAGTCCGACTTGATCGGGCCCGTTGAGTCCAAAGTCGATGGCGAGCTGGGCTGCTTGGAGTGCGCTGTTCATGGCGGTGTAGCCGGCGCGGTAGGTGAAGAGTTGGAAGGGGGCACCGAAGGAAAGTACCGTATCAATCTTATGGATAGTAATTCCCTCGCCAAGTTTGATATCCTGAATTTCACTCTCAGTTCTTTCTTCATCCCATCTATTCTCGACATCCACATTGCTACTAGATCCAAACTAGGAGGAGAGGTAGAAAGGACTTACGGCTTCAGTCACGGTAGACACCGTCTGCTCCCCCGACAAAACACACACGTCCTCTTCATTTCTAACAAGTCCATTATACGCTCCCCCCGTAAAATCCGAAAAAGGCTGGATAGCATTGACATACGATCCGTTCAGCAGCGTCTGCGCAAATGTCGGAATCTCCCGTATCACCTCTGCCGGATACACGCCTTTAAACACGTGATTCGCAAGCAGCGCTCCAATGGCCGCGGTGTCGTTTTTGAATTCAATGGCTTGGCCTTCGGGGATGTCGCGGGGGACGGCGGCAAAGGCGTCGTTGGTAGGAGCAAAAATTGTGATGTTTGTGGCGGAGGAGAGAGTGGTTGCGAGACCATCGATGAGGGAGACGAGGGTGAGGAGTTCGCTGAGGTCGGGTTGGGAGGAGAGGAGGGCGCCGAGGTCGCCTTGGGCGAGGGTGGTGCTAAGGGTGAGGGCAGAGGCGAAGATGCGGGAGGGGCGCATGGTTGGGGATTTGTGGGGATAGTCAGGGTAGGAAGGGATGATAAGAGTGTTTGGTAGCGGAAAGAAGAGAAAGCTTGGTTGTGGGATGGTGTGTGAGTTTCCTGGTGATGCTGCTGCTTTGCCTTTATATACATATTTTGTTCATCTGCTATACAGTATACAACACCAACACTACCAACACCTACAGCCTCAAGCGGTACCTGGTGCTGACAGAATGACATCTATGACTCTGTAGCCGATGCTATTGTTGCTTTTCGAGAGGTTGTGATCGGGGCGCAGCACAATGGTTGTAGTGATGCCACTGACTAGATTTGGAAGTTCCCAGGCCTAGCTGCTTTCTTTGTGAGACTTCCCACTCTGTAAAGACGCAGGTCGAGACAAGATTTACATACATGCATGATCCTACAGTCGTAGTGGTATACTATGGGACGAATAGGCAGGCGGAGGGCCTTGCCAAGCGGCTCCACTTCTGTGCAGCGTATGCTAGCGAGGATCCTCGGTTGGAGCAACGGCGAAAACTTGCCAGCGGCCAATTTCTCCCGGCTGCAAGCACGTTGAATACGCATGTTGTGAGGTACTTGTGGCGTTTTGTGTTGTGCATGATGAGGCTGTGTAGACCATGTACGTCCATGGCCTTGTTTGCAACACTTTACCAAAAATGTAGCACGTCATTCTGCAGAGAGGTATACGCATCGCTGTGATGGGTTTCTGGAACTGAATAGAGTACAGACAGACAAATAGTGTATTCTAATCGATCTAAGCGATTTGAATTGCCTACCCTTTTGAAATTAGAACATCCAGTAAGTTTGAAGCCTGGCGGGGCATGACGTCGTACTAGCAGTATAGACGCCAAGCAGCGGCTAAATTTCACCGCGCTCACACTCTCTATACAAAAATTAAATACAATGATCCACGTAGGTAGCTTTATGTACGTGATTGATTGTATTGACTATACAGTGGATCTCTGGAGTGGCTAGATACAGTGTTTTTGGCTCAGAAGTGGTGCAGCGGTCAAACAGGGAGAAATTAAGAAACCTTCCTACTACGGTCGTAATAAAACTAAAGTACATAACTATCTAAAGTTCTTGTTCATAAACTCAGTCTGATCACGCATTCCAGCCTCGTCACTTGCCTCCTTATTTGGTGGGCCATATACTCGGTTGCGACGCTTGTTAGTGAAGAACATGTAACCTGTAGAACACGAGTGTTAGAAAACGAACAAGAGTCTAATTGTGTCAAGTAAATGTGTCTCTTACCGAGCAAAGCAAGGTGACATCCGGTCTTAATACTGTAACCAACCAACAACCCGATTGTCGCGCCCTCGTACCTGGGCGCCTCCTTTGCATCCACCACAAACGGACCGGCAAAGTTGCCCCAGCAGTACGCGGTGAAAACTAGGGCGCTGGCTAGCGATCGATGCGTATATCCAGCCATGTTGGAGGAGAGTGTGGTGAGCGATACAGTGAAGCCGACGGATTGCGCGTTTACAAGCCAGAAACTGATGAGTCGGCCCCAGGTATTGGATCGGGGGAGGTAGGCCATGCAGGCTGCGGCAATGGTGCAAAGGATGTTTGCCACGGTTGCTGTCAATAGGCGTGCTAAATAGATGTATTAGCATTTCTTGATCAAATAGAATAGTTGTTTAGCGTTGACGTGACGATAAGTGCCAACTTACAGTTTGGGACGTTAAGGATGACCGATCCTCCAATTAATAGTGCAATGATTTGTACCGCGTCTCCGACTGATTTCAGCTCCGTGGTCTTAGTGGCACTGAAGCCCATATCGCGGATGATGATTGTGGAGAATGAGTTCACTACGCCGTTAGGGATGGCCCTGTATATTTTGATCAGCACAGTTGAAGACATGAGTATGAATATCTGAATGGCGGGAAAGGATTACACATACGCTGCGAAGACGCTAATGAAAAGAAGTATCGTCTTTGGATCCGTGAAACCGGCGACGATTTGGCCCTTGTCAAAATGCTTGTTCTTAACTCCAGTCTGGTTGCCAGCAACGCGTTTGACGGCGAGAAGGCGCTCGCGGTGGTTGAGGAAATGGGCGTTGGATGGAGAATCGGCCATGAATATCCAAATCACAATGGCCCAGAGACAGGTTGCTCCTCCAAGCTATCTCTGGTTAGTTCGTTTCGTTTTGAAAGATGTAGCAGCTGATACGCACAATGTAGAAAATGAGTTCCCATCTTTCAGGCTTCATGTCTACGGGGAGTTTGGAAATGCCCATGGAGATGTAGGAACCAATCTGGATAAGGTTAGCAATATCTTCGACCCGACAGGGACGCTAGTGAACTTACAATACCACCCCAGCCAAGTGATGAGCTAAGGGATCGCGTTAGTTTGGATTTCAAAAACCACTTGATGTTAACACTTACTACCAGATGCATTGACGGAGCGGAATTTCTCGTCGCGTGTACCAAAATCCGGTCATCAATGTCAACCCTCTGTGAAATGGAGCATGAACACGGCCATTAATCATCATATCTTTGGAAAGAAACTTACGGTGTTACTGCAGCTTCAAACAAGCCCATAAGAACTACAGTTTGTATAAGCATGTGAACCAGGATATATCCGAGGGCAGGGAATCATCTTACATCGGACGAACACTGCATATCAAAGTTAGGATACGCTCTATCCCAGACGATTCGTCCAAGAGGGAATACGTACATGCGGTAGAGTAAGTGCGCGCTTGGGTCATTATGATGACGGTAAACCCCCAGCAAAGTATGCTAATAGCGAGGACCTTTTGGGCTGGAAAGCGTCCAATGAGCCACCCACATGGATACTGACCGAAAAAATAACCAGCGTAAACCACTAAGATGTATTGTGAGTAGCAAGAAACATCAGTTTGGCAGATGTAACGCTTACTTGCAGAGAGGTAATTGAACTCCTTGCCCTTGAGACCCAGTGCCTTTTGATACCCAAACAAGTTTGCGTAGTTCAACGATGTTTTGTTTATAAACTGTAGAGCCTGTGTGACCAGAAACATGGGAAGGATGATTAAGTCAATTTTCCACCTGAGTCTCTTCATCTAAAATCAAAACATTAGGGAGGCGCAGAACGAACATAGCAGCCGCAAAAAAAACGAACCTCTTTGTCTGAACCCTCAATATTGCTCGCCTCGAGGTACTCTTTATAACCCACGGCATTCTCCATTTCCATTCCAGTCGCGCCTTCAACATGTTTGGCGTTGTTACACTGTTCCATGATCTCAATTTCGGGTTTATTGGTTTCCGCAGCCATGGTGCAAAAGGCTCAAAATATGGGACAGAATGAGACAAGCAAATCGTGAAAACAACAATCTCCAGAGACGATCCCATCTTTAAACTCCCCGCAATAATCACGACTCATGTAGACTGTAGGGTTGGGGTTGGATAGCTCTATTGAGTCTAGTTTTGCTCCCCCGCAGGAGACATGAACATTTCCCCACGGCAATTTTCCGTGGAAACTCGCCTGCCACCATGGCGCTTGCGCCACTCCCCCAACCCCCGGTTGACCTGCAAACAGTGTCGCAGTCTGCCAATAAATATAAGATTTATACGGCTAATTATAGAAAACGCTTTGAAATAAAGATCAACTTGACTTGATTTGTTTATCGGACTAGAAATCTTATCGGTTTTTGTTCCTACCAGCCCCCCAACTCATTCCATTTCATTTCTATCACAGCAAACGATGGGGCAATTATTGTCAAAACACAAATCTCAATCGAGGTCGAAATTAATCTCTTCAGACCTCGAGGAGTCCAAATCTGGTCCAGATGCGTGTCTAGCTAAATCAAGCGGCAGTTGCTGTCTCAAAGGCACTATTCACAAAGGCGAAGGACGTGGCAGGCGGGAAACGATTGCAAATGTAGAGACGTACATATCAGTACCACCAGCCAGCAAAGCCAACGGAAACGTGCTCCTGTATTTTCCCGATGTATGGGGTATGTTTCCCAATGGCCTGCTCGTCATGGATGCCTTTGCAAGCGCAGGATATACAGTTCTCGGACTCGACTATTTCAGAGGTGTACGAATTTCCGCATTTTCCCCCTTCTTCTTTTCGATCCTGATTACTTTTCGCTTTTTTTTCGGGTGCTAACTGAGAGGTCGTTCTTTAGGATCCCGTATGGAAACATCGCAAGAATCGGCATGATAAAAGTAATCCGGGGTTTGACTACGAGGCTTGGAAAAGAAAACACACTGCGTTCGCTGACGAGGCGGTGCCGAGATGGGTGGCTACTGTCGTCGATCGGTACAGGAAAGAAAACCCAGGGACCAAGTTTGCGTGTGTCGGATATTGTTTTGGCGCGCCATACGTATGCGATGAGTTGGCGAAAGACCGCGTCACTGTCGGTGCTTTTGCCCATCCGGCTTTTTTGAAAGAGCACCACTTCCAGAATATAAAAAGTAAGGTCAAAACGCCAGTTTCTGGAACAAATAGAAGCAACTGACAATTTGAAATTTAGAGCCTTTGTTCCTTTCCTGTTCCGAGAGAGACCATACCTTTGATGTTCCGAGTAGGCGACGTGCGCTAGATATTCTACAAGAACGAAGCAAAACGTTTCACTATCAACTATTTTCTGGTGTTGAACATGGTTTTGCGTTGCGGGGAGATCCCGATGACCCTTATCAGCGTATGCATGCCGATTTCCTGTAGTTTCTAGATTGCTAATGAAGTGTACATAACAGGCTGGGTCAAGGAACAGAGTCTCTCAGGAATTGTTGGATGGTTTGATTATTGGTTGTCGCAACCTGAGAAGGCTTGAACGTTGACGATGAAGGTAGCATCAGGATATAGTACATCATACATCGTTTGAACTAAGATTTAAAATCATCGTAATGTGTTTTATTTGTGCGCTTCGGTCGTGTTTCCTATATATTGGCTGTTCGACTGAATGAATACTTCTGACGTGTCATGTCAATTCTTATTCATTATAATCGGTACGATATTTGAGCAGCAGGAGGAGTAGCAGCAGCAATCCGTGAGCGTGCAATTCTGCTAGTGACGACTGGAACGCCGAGACGCATCTCAAGCAACGCCCATAACCGACACATGATGATGGCAATGTGCGACTTAGAATTGCAACTGACCTAAAAGATAAAGTGTATGAAAAAATTATTCAGAATCAGGCGCTACCATAGATCCGGGTTTTGCTGTAAAGTGCCCGTTTTGGCCTCGGCCAGTTTCCTCGGGATATACCCGGTGAGTTCTACTACGTTAGGTTAGGAACTAGTCTGCTCTGGCACGGAAATATTGACAAGATGTAAAACGGCAGGATATTTAATGTAGGAAGAATATGGCATGGAATTGATAACATGTATCTTGAATTTCTTGATTGACTACCCGATCCTAATCTTTCCTCACGCTGTCCAAGAACTACATATAGTGAATACACCCAAGTCTCACTTTCTGCATCATGACGCCTCCCCGAGCATTAGATCTCACTGGCGATGTCGCCATAGTAACAGGCAAGCATACAGTTCCATCTCAATTCACCTCAACCGCCAGAAGAAAAGCAGAATTTGTGATCTAACTATTTCGTCTACATTCAGGTGCCGGCTCGCGAATGAACGGTGAAATCGGTAACGGTCGAGCGGCTGCGATTTTACTGGCACGCCATGGTGCAAAAGTTGCTTTGCTCGACTACAATGTCGACTGGGCCAAAGAGACCAAGCGCATGATTGATGGAGAGGGCGGTATCTCCGAGGTCATACAAACGGACGTGACGAAGGAGGAATCGTGTAAAGCCGCTGTGAGCAAGACGCTAGAACTTTTCGGTGCGGTGCATATACTAGTGAACATTGGTAAGTTCCAACTTCATGCATGCGAAAACAGTATGCGCAAATATCTCGGCACAGTGCGTTAATCATGCTTTCGTTATTGCAGTAGGGGTCGGCGGAGCCATGGGCGATGCCACAGTCGTAAACCTCGACGCATGGGAGCGCGACTTCCGTATCAACGTCACGAGCATGGTCCTCATGAGTCGGTTCGTCATCCCCGAAATGCGGAAGCAAGGGAGAGGATCAATTGTCAATATGTCCTCCGTTAGCGGCTGTAGGTAAAATGCTTCGGCAAAGTTTGCCGCTTATCGGCAGATCTGCAAACAGCTAACGCAATGTAGTATTGGGAGGTAACCCTAGTCTTCTTTACCCTACTACCAAAGGCGCCATCATTCAGATGACCCGGGCTATGGCGGCTCAGCATGGACGAGAGAATATTCGTGTCAATTGCGTTTGTCCTGGAATGGTATACACTCCTATGACGCGTGGGCGCGGCATGACAGACGAGATGAGAGAAGCTCGGATTAACCAAAATCTCATGAAGAAGGAAGGCACGGGCTGGGACGTGGGCTATGGTGCGTTTCTCTCAAGATACCTACGGGATTTCAAAATTTAGGCCAATGGATTGACACATATTTGCAGCTATATTATTCCTCTCAAGCAAGGAAGCAGGATGGATTACGGGATTGATCATGCCTGTTGATGGAGGCGTAAGTCTTCTACAGCTTTGTTTCCTTCCCGGGAGCCGGAAACTAACAAAATTGCGTAGACAACTGCTGGAAAAGCTGACCGACCAGCCCTGAAGCCAGATACGCTAGCTGAGATGACTACGGGCGTGAGCAACTAGGCAAAAAAAACGCTTGCATGAGTAGTTAGCAGGATTAGATCAATGGCAGCTGGAACTATACTTCAATTCAGATAGTTGTGTATGAAGTAACCGGCTCTACATGTACCGAGAACTTCATTACATTGACATAGCATCTCGAGAATCGAGCCACATTTCTGGGAAGCAATCTAAAGCGGCCATGGAACCAAAGTCCATTTCGCCTACTTGTGAGACCATGGAAAAGTCGACTGAAAGTTCCGGGTGCAGATAAGGAAATGCAGGTATATATGAATTCGTGTGCCCCCCAATTGCATCTGCTGACGGGTTCGTAGTGTCTCGACCTTGGTCATTACCAGCATCTAGCGGCTGTTGATGCTGGCCTAATGGTACATGACTCAAACTTCTGATGATGATGTTCAGACTTCTTTCCAGTATCGGACATAGACGCATGCCGGCATTGAGAGCGCGAAGAAACGTTCGCAGCACTGGATGCGCAGCACCTTGATTGCACCTTTGGGCATCTTCCAGCACGGCTGATGCTCCCGTATAGATGCAATATCCCATTAAGTAGGTGATGTTTTCTAACCCGAATGTCGAGTCAAGTAATAGAACTAGCCTCTCGATACCATGGGCCGCTGCGATGCATGTCTCGTAGTGAGCCGGTACAGACCAGAATGGGCGATGGGCTAAAATCACTGCGGTATAGTACAAAAGGTTTTGCGAAACAATGTGTGGTGGTGGCGAGACAGCAGGAATGTAATCTGGCTCATAACGCAGGTGAGCTGGCGACTCCGCTCGCCAGACATCAAGCCGTACTTTGATGTCACGTAGCGCTGACTCTGTGATTTCTCGACTTCTTCGGGAGTAGAGCTGAGAAATTATGTCATTTATGATGATGGAGAGCTTGCATGAGTTTGCAAAACAGGACACTGCACGACTTGTCTGAGGCGCGTATCGACTCTGCGTGAGTTTGGCGATGTCGACAGGATCCCCATAGTAGGGAGACCACGATTCGAGCTCCATGGAATCATCAACTAAATTTGTCAGAAGCTACCAATAATTTCTAGGGGAAGCATTTACTAACGTTGATCGAGTGTACTATGTGGTAATGATTCAGTAATAGCAGGAAGTCTTCCCGTGTACATGCTAATGGCTCTTCAAGGCCAAAAGTCAGTCACAAAGTATAGCCAATCGTTGACAGAAGAGAATGACGTACTTGTCCCAAAAGTAACAACTCCAGAATAACCGTTTCCGAACTTCAGCATCTACAGGGCCAAACCTTCGAAAGCCAGGGTCGCAGTGCTGTAATCCAAGGTCACTCGCCATCCGAAAAGCTATTCCGCTGTACACCCAGGCTTGCGAAATGGAGCCGTTTGCGAGCTCACGAGCGCTGAGTTGTAGGAGTGCTTGGACTGTTGGTATGGAACTTGGCTGCTGTATGGCTGTTCCTAACAAGCGACGCATGCGGACTTGCAGAAATTCTGCGCAGTCTCCATTTTGGTACTTGGCCGCATGCGCACATATCACAGTAAGTAGTAGTTCGGAGTAATAACGACCTCCGGTCGCCATATCACCTGTGAGACGTATCAGCACGAGATATAGCCAATCAACGGTACAATGAGACGAGAGCCGGGTCGGACTTTGAACCTACGGAC